CTGATAAGTAGATGCTAATTCATAATGGGTGGGGGTGCATGGATGAGTGGAGGAAATTTGGATGAGGGAGGGGGGAGGAGGCATGGGGGTAGGAAAGATGGTGGAATGAGATGAACATCATTACCCTAAGTTCCATGATTGCACAAATGGTGTCACTCTCTTTCACATACAACCAGAGAAGTGAAAAATTCTACTCCACTGATCAGTTATACATGACAGCAGAAAGTTCTTCAATTCATTGTACACAAGTGGAGTAGAATTAATAAAATTAATCAAAAAATAAATAAATGCTGTTCCCTCAATGACCTCCCCACCTTTCCTTGGAGATTTGAGACAGAAAAGATCTCTATCTTCCTCAAGTCTGGCTTTGAATAAACATGTTTTCCTGTATCAACTTCTGCTTCTCTAACTTTCTTTGAGCAGCATGCAGCAAAACTTTTGATTCTAGTAACAAAATGACTGGGGTCTATCTCATGGTGCTGTTTTAATAAAAAATACAGAGTTAGATCAGTGTGTCAGCCGGGCATGGTGGTGCACACCTATAATCCCAGTGGCTCAGGAGGCTGAGGCAGGAGCATTTGGAGTTCAAAGCCAGCCTCAGCAACTGCAAGGCAATAAGCAACTCAGTGAGACCCTGTCTATAAATAAAATACAAAAAATTGGGCTGGGGATATGGCTCAGTGGTTGCGTGTCCCTGAGTTCAATCCTCCAGAACTGCCTCCCCTCCCCCCCCAAAAAAAACCCCCAACAAACTTAGTGTGTCATGCACCTGGTGAACAGGCATATAGGCCTTGGTAGGAACCAAGGCTGGGGCTTTTGGTCACCATGACCCATTTCTTCACTTTTTTTTTTTTTTTTTTTTGCAGTGCTGGGGATTGAACCCAGGTTTCATACATGCTAGGCAAGTGCTCTATCACTGAGTTACTCACAGCCCCTGTTTTATTTTTTCTTCCTTGATGACCTAATCCTATGCACACATGTTAAATTGTTTTTATTTTTGCTTTGTCCACTGCCCCCCCAAGATTTATTGAAAAAAAAAAAACTGTATAAGTATTACAGTGTGATGTTTTGATATATATACATATGTGTGTGTGTGTTTGTGTGTGTGTGTGCGTGCGTGTATGTACACACACACATCATGGAACTGATTATCATAATCAAGCTAATTAACATACTCATATTTCTCATAGTTACCTTTAGTTTTTACTTTAAGATCTACTCTCTTAGCAAATTTCAAGTTTGCAATACAGTATTACTAACTGTAGTTATCATACTGTAAGTTTGATCTCCCATTCCTTGTTTCCTATCTACAGCAGCTCTGCCTCCCCTGGGTAGGCGGAAGAGCAAATGTCCTTGCTTTGCTGCTGGACCTCTCAAGCAGTGAGATGTCCATGCATTCTGTGTTTCCTGTTCTATAGTGTGGTAGGTTGAATAAAGACTCCCCTCCAAGTTATCCCTGGAGGCTGTGATTATTACCTTATATGGTAACAGGGATTTTACAGGTGTGATTAATTTAAGGCTTTTGTGATGGGAGATTGCTGGCACTAAAGGAGAGGAATGCTGAGACTGAAACAGAGCAATTCCCTCTGTAAGATGTTTAACAATTGTTACCCCCCCCCC